GACTCCATGAAAACATAACAGTACCAGAGCCAGCAGTGTCATGACTGGTCCCACCACTCACAATGTGACCTTGGGCAAGACCACTCTGAGAGGCATCCCACTACTAACTGGCTCTGAGTGGTGTAATGATGAAATGAGATCATGAATATGCAAAGGGCCTTGTGCTAACTGTCCAGTTTGGCTCACTTTTTAGTTGAACAATCTCAAGAAACACTCTTTGCAGAAAGCACAGCCTCTGATGTTTGCATGCCTCTTCCTTCCCCACTCTGTGCCCAGTGTTGTGTGACAGGCTAGGGTCCCCAACACAGCCAGCACTCAGTCCAACCAGTGGACTGCTTCAGGGCTGGGAGGTGAGGCCACACAGGCCTTCTGGCTTATGAAGTGGGATAATTAATTCTGGTATCTCCTCAGGGTGGAGGTGGGGGTTCAGGGAGATGGTAAGAGTGCTGGACACACTGCCTGCACATGGCAAGCCTGCCCCACCGTGAGCTGGCTTTGCTATCCCTGCTCTAATGCTGTGATCACATTATTCCACCTCTAGTTTCAGAAGCACTTCATGTCCTAGTGCACCCCATTTCACAGAAGAGGCTCAGCCCAGCCTTTAGGATCTCAAGTCCAGGGGCACAGAGCTTTGCCCAGGAAGCCTGAGAGCCCAGGCTTGGGAGGGAATGGAGCTCAGTGATAAACAGTGCACCCCTGCCTAGTCGTGAGGCCTGCCTGGGGAGGTTTGGAAGTCAACCATTTCCTGCAGTCAAGTTGCCTCCTGGGCCTCTGGCAGTTTCTTGGCCATGATGGAGGCACAGGCTGGCATCACTCGGGCACAGAGAGGTGTTTGTCACCAGCTGCGCAGGCAGGTGAGCAGCCCTGGAAGGCAGCGGCAGGCCCACCCTAGCCGGGAGAGCAGCTCCTCCCCATTGTTCTGGGCCTGGCGTGGCTGCCAGCACAGGAGCTGCCAAAGCGTGTTGGAAACCAGGCAAACACTCACAAACTCAGCCCGGTTTCCACTGACGTCACCGCAGCCCTACCTCATAGCCCGACCCAAACCAGAGGCTCCCAAACACCTTTCTCTGCCTGACCTGCGAGGCCTGCGCTGGCCACTGGAACTATGCTGGGGCTTGGTCATTCAAATGGAGAACAGCTCAGTGTGGCCCTGGGAGCACAGGGTCTGTGTGCAGTGCCCACGGTCTGCCACAGGTAGAGGCTGGACCCACGCGGCTCATTGGAGAAGCCCCCAAAGGGGCCCTGGGGAAGACAAAGCCTCCAGGTTCTGCATTATGGCTATTTTAGCGTAAATTAATGTGAAATCAGAAAGTAGTGATGCTGATATTTTTTGCTACTAAAAACCAGATTGAGTACATTTCTGTGTAATAACTAAGAGTTTGAAAGTTGATGAAAAAGGGGCCACATGCTAAACCTGACACGCTCAGAGGAGGCCTGCATGGGGACCTTACAAACTTAGAGACCAAAAGAATTCACATCAACCGGTCTGAACATCAATATTCCTAACTAAAAGCCCCGGGGGAAGGGGGGTGGGGGAGAGTGTATGTCCCAGGCCTGTAGCTTCCTTGACAAAGGTCAACCTTCACCTTAAGTGAGCCTGCCCATTATCTTTTTGCATCGAAGATAACAACTTTGAAATGTAGAGTGATCTTCTTTCCCAGACCCCTCAGGGCACAACCCTGGGCACAGACCACAGAACCCCTGGTTATCTCGTTCCCCACATACCATCTCTATGTGCCCTGAATGTTTATTCACTATCCTAGACCCACCAATGCAAAGGAAGTAGGTGTCTCTCTATTCTGCCTTTTTATCCACTCCAAGAGGTCCCCCTCTTTGATTTCTCCATCCCCCTAATCTACCACCCACGGATTTCATGTAATTCTCTTTACATTTCCTCCTTTTATTCTAATGTATAAAATAAGCTGTAAAACTGCCATTCTCCAGAGAGAGCATTTTCTCAATCTGATGAGATTTTGCTTCCCAGCAATTGTCATCAGTTTGGCAACTTATAAAAATTATCTACGTCAACAGGTTCAAATACATCAAACCAAGGCTGAGTTCTACCAGGACTGTGTGATCTTAGGCAAGTTGCTTAGCCTTTCTGAGTCTCAGCTTCCTCATCTGTAAAATGAATATAACAACAGTATCCACCTTAAAAAGACATTCTGGAATTCAATAAAGTAGAAAACACGTGCAAAATGTGCTGGCAGGATCAGGTACCTAGTGGGCACTCGGCAAATGGATGTTATGAAAGTTATGAATAAATACGACAAATGGCCTCCTGTGCAGCTCCCTCCCCCGCAGGCAGTCACTTCCCTGCCCGACTATGTCCCTGCTATTGCACTCCCACTGCCTGCAGCTGTTGGTGGGCGTGTCTTTTCTTTGAGCTCCCAGTATTCCAGGCCACCAGCAAGGCACTGGGAATAGAGCAGCGACCAAAACAGACACTCCCCATCCTCATGGAGCTTTCATTCATACGAGGAGAGTAGGAGACACTATATGTCTGATGGTGCTGAGGACACCTGAGGGGAAAGGTGGTGAGATCACAATTTTAATGTACACCACACGCATCTATAGACGCAGTGGGGATGGTTTCCATTTTGGATGCGTGGCAATTAACTGGTTAAATAATCAGGAAGGGCCTCACTGGGAAGGTGATATTTCAGCAAAGACCTGGAAGAAGCAGAGCAGCGAGCAATGAGGAAAGTGCTGAAGACAGGAGACAGCAGGTGCCAAGGCCCTGGGTCACTAGTGTGCTTGCCGAGCCTGAGGAACATCCAGAAGGACAGTGCAGCTGCAGCGGCGTGAACCAGGGTGAGAGGAGTCAGAGATGAGCTCAGGGAGGAAGCGGGTCAGATTAACAGGGCCTTAGAGACCGGTTGGCTTTTTCTCTACGATGAGCAGCCTTTTGAGGAGAAGAGTGACCCGATCTGACTTTTTTAGAAGGACCACACTGGCTGCTGGGAAGAGGAGGGGCTGCAGTGGGCAAGCGCAGGAGCAGGGAGACCAGCGAGGTTCAGGTGAGAGGTGGAGGTGGGCTGACCAGGAGCGGGAGAGGTGGAGCAGCAGGATTCTGGGAACAATTCCAGGATACTGCTATTATAATTTGGTGGTGAATTAGATGTGGGATGACTTCAAGGCTGTTGGCCTGAGCAACCAGAAGAATGAAGTTGCCATTTACTAACAAAGGAAAAACTGGGGTGAACAGGTGGGGATGGAGCGATTGGGAATACCAGGAGTTCATTTCTGGGAAAGATAAGGATGAGGTGCCAGCAGATAGTGGAGAGGACATGGCTTATTTGGAGATAGGAGTCTAGAGTCAGAGGGTGAGGTCTAGGCTGGAGAAATAAATGTAGGAGTCGTCATGCTTGAAGGTAATCAGAGCCGCAGGACTGGGCAAGATCACCAACGGAGAGAGGCGCACTGGGCTCTGGGCCCCCAGGACAGAAACAGGAGGAGGAGCCAGCACAGAGCACCGAGAAGGAGCAGCCATGAGGTGGGAGGAGAGAGTGGTGTTGGGGAAGGAAGTCGAAGAAGAGAGAGGTCAGGCATGTCCCACAGTGCTGACAGGCAAAGTCTTAACGAGGACCAAGAACTGGGCATTGGTCTGGCAAGCAAGGCCACGGGAGTGGAGGAGAGAGGGCAGGCCTGACAGGAGTGAGTTCGAGAACCGCCAAAGAGCTTTCTGGAAAGACTGAGTACAGGAACCTCTGTGAGGGTTTTGCTAAAAAGGGGAGCAGAGAAATGGAACAGTGGCTGGAGAGGGGATGTGAGGTCAAGAGAGGATAGTCTTTAAGTTGAGAGAAATAACAGCATGATTGTTGGGAAAATGTGATCATACGGGCGAGGAGGGGGAGAACTGCCGGAGCCGTGTCCTTGAGCAGCGCAAGGAGGGATCTGCGCACGGCTGTCCCCTCCCCCTTGGCCTCACTCCTAACTCATCCTTCAAGGGTCAGCGCATAGGTCACTTTCTCAGGGAAGCTTTGCTGACCCTCCAATAAGGTCAGTT